ATCGAGTGAGTTACGCAAGTCGGCGTTAACTCTTGTTGTTACACTAGAACCGAACTACTTGCTTCAGAAAATAGAGTCCTTTTCGGAGGTGTAAGAAAGTTTTACAGCCTTTCGAAAAAAGCATTACGCCAAAAGAACTGAGTTTTGCGTTCGAGAAAATTGTAGAAGTTATCCAATCTCACGAATTCAGTGACGACATGGGCAAAATTCGGAAAAATAAACCGGTATCAACGCATATTCAAAAGCTTAACCCCTTTGTGCAGGAAAATAAAGTAGATTGGTGCTCTTCGACATTATTGCGAGTTGGTGGTCGGTTATTGAATGCTCCTATCCCGTACGAAGCCAACTTTCCGTTGTTGCTAACAAAAAGCTCACAGTTCGTTAAAACCTACTCGTCGTATCTGCACGTTACGAATTGTCACGCTGGTCCTCGAGCTCTTGTGAGTCTCCTGAGAGAGAAAGTCTGGTTGGTCAATGCTCAAGACGTATGTCGCATGCGCTGCTTTCGATGCAAGCCGCAACTCTTGACGCAAATTATGGGGAACTTGCCATCAGACAGACTCCGAGCTCTCCGCCCTTTTAATATCTGTGGCGTCGATTTTTGTGGGCCATTTAGCACAACATATCGCATCCGTGGTAAACCGCCGTACAAGTCATATGTGGCCTTGTTTGTGTGTTTTGCGTCCAAAGCGGTCCACTTAGAGTTAGTGTCTGACCTTACCACTGATTCATTTTTATTGGCTTTTCAAAGGTTCGTGAGTCGTCGCGGGATTCCGGAGAAAGTGTGGTGCGACAACGCGACCAACTTCGTCGGCGCGGATCGGCATCTGAGAGAGTTCCGGGCCCGTCTGGAGGAGCAGGGGGGCGGTATCGAAGCATTCGCGTCAAAAAAAGGATGCGAGTTTGCGTTCATACCGCCCAGAGCACCTCACTTCAGCGGTCTATGGGAAGCAGGTGTGAAGTCTGCAAAGCACCTGTACCTTCGGACGGTCGGTCACGACCTCTTGACCGCGGAGGAGCTCGGAGCTCTCCTCGCCAGCGTGGAGGCTGTGCTGAATTCAAGGTCCATCGGAGCGCTAAGCAGCGACCTCAGCGACGGCGAAGCCTTAACCCTCGGACATCTCCTGATCGGCGGCCCGCTGGTAGCTCCACCACCGTCGGCACTCCCGGACCAGATCAGCCCGACCTGCTTGCGAAGGTGGCGCAGTGTCTTGTCGCTCAGGCACAGGTTTTGGCAGCGATGGTCCCGGGAGTACGTCTCCAGCCTGCAAACGAGGTCAAAGTGGAACCAGGAGGTCCGAAACGTCGACGTGGGAGCGCTCGTCGTCGTCGGCGAGGACAATCTGCCGCCCCAGCAGTGGAGCATCGGGCGCGTAGTGGAGGTGCACATCGGGGCGGTGTTTGCAGATTTCTCTTGTTTTGGTGTAAAGCGCGGATCGGGGCTTCATAAAGCTTTCTCACTCAGGCGAATTCGGCCGCCGCTCTCCCGCTCAATACTTTTAGGTTAGCATGTAAGAGAATTTGTATGAAATTAAAAGTTAGCTGAAAATTGAACTCCTTGTCGTACACATTGCGTCACTCTCGTTTTCGTTTTTCGCTAAATCTCGCTAAGAAATAAACAACTGCATCACAAGTTTCGCGTATTTGTTGTCAATATAAATGCATATTGTTTTTTAACACTATCGAGGGTGCTGGGCATTTTTAACATCACTGACTTTAGCACAAAACAAGAGGTTTGATTGCAAGAATTTGGGTAAGAGAAATGAAAAATTACGGATTTTTATTTAAACAAGAAAGGAAGTTAGCTTCGGTGAGCCGAAGCTTATATACCCTTGCAGTCATCAAACATGTCGAACAAAATACATAAAGTCGAAACAACATCGAAGCTACTGCTACTTATTATTCCATTAATTTTTGTTAATTTGCGACGATTGTTCTTATAAAAACATTATGATAAAGTCGTCCGATTTTTATAAAATATTATTCGAAATTCAAGAGTCGTTAGAAAACTCTATATTCCAAAAATTATTACTGGTCCGTTGAAAAACAAAGACGTTTTCATTTTACTTCCGCAAATTTTATTTAGACTTTTCGATCTTTTTGTGAAATTTTTCTTAATCCAAGGGTATTTAAAAACTCGAAATTATAAAGATCATGTCCACAAGGTAAAAAACAACGACGTTATAATATTTTTCATTATTTATTTATACATTTTTCAATTTTTTCTATGGCAGACAGACGGACAAACGAAAATCGAAGAATTACAAAATATAAACAAGAGTATAAAATAAGGCGCTACGAGATTTCATAGTAGACGGAAATCCTGCGCAGGAGATAAAGAAATAGACCAGCCTAGGCAATCTATAGAAAAAGCCCAAAATATTCGAAGTCATTAATAATGACGTGGTACGAAAAGTAGTGACCTTTCATTTTATGCTATGTTTCGTTAAACATGGAATGAAAATTACTGCAAGATATGATGTTAGCGATTTATATACCAATAGAATTCTTGACTTAGGTCAGTTTTTACAAGGGCGTGAAATGCAGGCCGGTATACACAAAATCAGCGAACTCAAAGTGGCACAGTGGGAAAATATATTTGAACAAATTTCAATAGATAATTTTAAACAAATGGGCAATAAAATATTAAAATCATTAAGAGTAGCGCTAATCAACTCTGTGACCCTAATAATGAAAAATGAAAAGAGGCTCTTAATTGTTATTAGGTAATGAAATTTCCTTTTTGTTACTCATGTTAATATTAAAAATGTTATTAAATATAAAAACGAACAAAATAACTTCATTATATTAAGTTATTTTACAAAAGGTGTGAGATGTATTATGCTCACATATCGGACACTTCTGTACCCCTTATTCTCCATATACATAGTAGCATTTGTTTAAAATCACATATCGGATACCTTCTGTAACCTTATATTCCATATACATAGTAGCATTTGTTTAAAACCAAATGTTCCCGACATATCGAGGCGAATTTAAATCACCAACACAAGAATGCAATGGGCAGCCTAAGTGCTGAGTCGGCTTGTCTGGCATGCGCAACCGACTTGTATGTGAGCATAATACACTCTCTCTCTCTTCGCCTTGCGCGCCCGCTGTTGGCGCAGCTCATAAAGATATCCATAAGAACGGATTGTTTTGCTGCCGGCGTCTCCGACAGCGTAGCTTCGCAGTCGACTATATCAGATAGCTCCCATACGCAAAAAAAAAAAATCAGAAATCAGATCGCCTTGATTTCTTGCTGATGGTTTTTTCTAACTACTATTGAATTTCGAATTTCGCTAGCTTCCTTTCTTGTTAGAGATAAGGTTAACAGATTGAGAAGGGGCTTACACAACGCATCGGCGCAGTATTTAAAAACACATCCAGGAATCTCGTCATGACCTGGTGAGTAAACTGGTGAAGCACGTTGAAGATCCAAAGTTAGGGTGCTTTCGTTTAAAGAGTGACGAAATATTAAGTTCGACTTAGGTATGGCGTATAAATATTGCTCATTTGAATGAGACACTGTGGAGTAAGTTGTTTGCAAGAATTGGGCGAACAGATCGGCTATTGCCTGATCAGTATTAGCCGTCATACTTTCAAACGAAAGCGAAGGCGGAAAGGAGGATTATCTGCGCTTAGTGTTAACAAAATCATAAAACGGTTTGGGATCCCGTAAAAACTGGGACCTACAACGGACTAAATAATTTTTGTAAAACTGAGCGTTAAGCACGGTAAACTTTGACCGAGCTCTTATGTATTTTCCAAAAACAGACTGACAACCTGAAATTTTATATTTTTTATACAGTCTGGATTTTGAATTCTTATGGTGTGACAACTCCTTGCTAAACCAAGGTGGTTTATTGGATGTTGATGGGATATATAGCGGAACACACGAGCTAAAAAACGATTTGATTGCCGAATAAAAAAATGTAATGGCTTCTTCCATATTGTTGCAGGAATAGAGATAGAGAGAGATGCCAGATATACATAAGATGACTAAGTCTCAGAAAGTTAGCCTATCGAAAACAATGAATTCACTTGGCTACCTTTATAGCATTATTTTTAACTGTTATACCAGTGTCGATAGTCACTTCGAAAAAAGGATGATACGGATCTTCAGGCAGCGTAAGTGGGTATGCTCTGGAGAGAAATACAGTTTCAGGATTTGAGACAAGGCACAAATCAAGCAAACGATCTAATGAGTTTCGAACATCGTTTACCTCACACGGAGGTATGTCAAGTAGACCGTCAATGAATTTATTGTGGCCTATGGGTTGTAAAGCATTGGAATTATCACCCGACAACCACGTAGTTCCAGGTATATTAAAATCACCTAGAACTACTAACGGATCCATATCGGACAAAGAACTCGAAATTGACTTTATAACTGATAGGTGCCTAAAATATTCCTCACGATCGGACGAAGGAGGTATGTAAGAGCAGGTAATAAAAATTAGCGTGCCAGCGACAGACAGTTTTACGCATAAAAATTCTATTTTTAAATTCAAAGAATCTTCTGTCCACTGCAACAAGGACACTGCCTCCCCGTCTAGATGGACGGTAACTCCCATATAGTATGTTTTTACCGCGAAAAACTTCAGAGCGCAAGATTTCGGCTTTAACCAGGTTTCTGTAAACACAATAATTTGGGATGCAAACGAAAAGCTATCAGTACACAATTTGGTTAGCTTGCTACGCAAACGTCTTTTATTCTGATAGCTAATTAGGCAGTTAGTGGTTAGTTTTTTGGGGGAGGAGCTAAAGGCGGCGCGGTTTGTTGGTCCCGGCTGGGGAGTTTTAATCCCACAGGGCCTTTCTTTTTTAATGGGGCCAAAAATCGCTCGAGCATATGGTGTTAAAAAGTTCGTCAGGAACAATTATCTTGAAACATAAAATATTTCTAGCATACAAAAAGTTAAATTTTTCCACCTTCACTTTATCGGCAATTATTTTGTCTTTGATGTGAGGTCAGGGTGCAGCCGAGAAATAAATACCTTGTTTCATTTGTGGAATCACTACAAGAGGTTTTGGTACTGCAGGCTGTGGTCCGGTCTCAGAAGTCTCCTGTGGGGGTATACTTAACTGGATAGGTAACATTTTATCGGCATGGGTCGCCCATACTCCACTGTGTATTGATCGGGGTCTGAATCTTTTTAACTGTCGATCTTAGCAACATTTGAGTGGTTGCTAAAGACGACTGGTTATCCAAAGAGGAGTGCTTCTAGTCGCTTTAAAGTTGCGGGATGATTCCCTCAGGCCTTCCACCAGCAGCCTTTTTAAACTTCGGGGACTCCTATAATAGCTTAAGGCTATTAAACTGCGAGTCCAGCGCTGAGAGTAGATCATTGGCCTTGGCAAAACTATCTTTAGCTATGCCAAAACTAGTGATCAGTCCCTTTAGGCCGCCATCTTGTCACAAAGCGCAAAAGTGAGTTTGGCCTGTTCAGGCTTAAGTACCTGACATCGGGTTTTTTTTTTAGCAGACAATCTAAGTATCCAAGTTTTAACTAATACGGACCACTGTGCCAAGAATAAATCGGATCAAAATTTGTAAGCGAGCACTGAACACTTTTCGTAGTTTCAAATGGTTTTCACAAATACTTCTAATTTTCCGATCAGATCAGTAAGGTTTCTACAGTCAACCGACCGTTTTTGATCAATAATTCCTTTACTTTATTGACGTATTGTTCATTTGTTGACGTCGTACGGAGTGCTCGATTTCATCAACACGTTCCCGATAAATTTCGTACAACGAACTAAATTTGATAGTACTTCTCTGCTCAATTAAATCAGACATTGTAAAAATCAAAAAATGCAATCTTGGTCATTTTGTAAGCACAAGCGCAAATATAGTACTGATACAGACATCGCCCAGATTTCACTAACAGACCTGACAACTTAAGAAAAAAAGAATTGGCATGAAAGGTTAGGCCCGTGAAGTTAAATTTGAAAATTCACACTCCTTTTTGTCCACAGTAGTGTAAATATTCTTCCGACTTAATGCAGGTTCTCACCTTGTAGGGCTGAAAAATGACACTTTTAATAAAAAAAATTTTGAGAAGACGCTTAAGCTGAAATTTTTAACTTTATTTGAAAACATATTTATTTTGCGAAAAAAAATTCAAAATTGAAAAATTAAAAAAGGGGCGGGAGGGGGCGTTCTTCAGTTGCGGCATTTCGGGAAAAGGTGTCCCGCTTACGGAAGTGATGCAGCCAAAACGGGTAATCGGAAACACAAAAATGTACTGTACTGTGCATAAAATGAACTAGGATCAGAAAAAAAAATGAAAATTGCAAATGTTTTTTTCTCACTAATTATTTTCTCAATGCCATGCCGATAAAAAGTTCCGCTTTTTTTCTCACTAATTATTTTCTCAATTAAACAGTTTTCAATATTTTTGGATAATCCTAGTTCAGTAGTTAAAGGAAACAATTACTTCCGTAAGGTCCGAAAACGTGGTTCCGAGATAAACGCGTTTAAAGTTTTGGCTTCAAATGGCCGGTGCTCGACATGTGCTCCATGTAAAAGCCTGTAGCTCTTGTAATTTTTCAAATTTTGATCTGAAATGTATCTATACGCAAAAAAAAAATCGATTTTTTTCGACACAAGGTGAGAACATGCCTTAAATAAAATTTAATTCGAAGTTCAAAAGTCTTAACAATAACAATGTTGGTGGAGGTATTTCGACATAGGCACACGAAAATTCTTCATGCTAAATAAACCCTTTGCGGAGCCCAATTATAATCTGTGTTTTTTCCTAGTCTCGAAAATCAGGCAACAAAGAAAATCGAAAAGCAGCTGGTTACAGATCTTAACAGCATTAAAGCTTTGACGTTTCTTCTTTAATATTCTTATAATTTCTTTAATTTCTTTTTCGCGCGTATTCCCACGGCCCAACCGTGGGACTTACCAACCGAGGGGCGACAGCCGTGTATCGTACGGCACGATTCCTAGTTAATCTACTTGGTACCGAGAAATTTAGTCTACTAAACAAGTAATCATTGTCAATTTCACCGCGCATAAGGTTATGAATAAACAAAGTACCAAGCATCGTTCTACGGTTAGTAAGGGAGGGCAAGTTAATGAGGAGCAATCTATGAGAATAGGAGTGTAGGAATAGGTTTGCATTCCAGTTAAGGCGACGTAGGGCAAAAATTAAAAAGTTTTTTTGTACTGATTCTATGCGATCAGCATGTACTCCGTATTGAGGACTCCAAACGGGTGCCCCATACTCAAGGATTGGCCGGACCAACGATATAAATAAAGCCTTGGTAACGTAAGGATCCTCAAATTCCTTCGACCATCGTTTAATAAATCCAAGCATTCCCCTAGCTTTATTAACCATGTTCGAAATATGAGCAGAGAATTTAAGTTTGGGGTCCAATTGGACGCCAAGATCGTCAACAAGCGCTATTCTTTCCAAAGCACCACCACTTAGTGAATAGGTGACATTTTGTGGATTGACCCGACAAAACGTCATCAGCTTGCATTTAGAGCTGTATAATTTCAGTAAATTTTCGTTACACCAGTTTTGAAAATTGTTTAGGTCTGCTTGAAGGTTTAAGTGACGGGAGTAATCATTATACTGCAGACACAGTTTTACATCGTCCGCGTACATAAGTACGCGGGAATGCGAAATGATCGATGGAAGATCATTGATAAACAAGGTAAAAAGTAATGGTCCCAGATGGCTTCCTTGTGGTACACCAGAGGTAACTCTGAGGATACTACTTAAGGAATTTTTGAAAAGGACTCTTTGCGTTCGGCCACTGAGATAACTAAAGATCCAACTTAAAAGATCTGCTGGAAACCCCATCATGTCAAGTTTGCGAATCATTAGGAAGTGATTTACAGAGTCAAATGCTTTACTGAAGTCTGTGTAAATGACATCAGTTTGGAAATTATTTTTATCACGAAGGATGTGAGCTCTAAAAGATTTGTTGTGGTAGACCTGCGTTTCATAAATCCGTGTTGGTATGGAGATATGATTGATCTACAAAGGTGCTGCAAGTGGGGGGTTACTGCACGTTCGAAAAGCTTTGGAATTGCTGACAATTTAGAAATACCTCTATAATTGCAAGCATCCGACTTGCTTCCCTTTTTATGAAGGGGAATAACAAATGACTCCTTCCAAATAAGGGGAAACTGACAAGTTTGTAGGGATAGGGTAAAAAGCTTGAGAAGGGGTTTACACAATGCATTTGCACAGTGTTTAAGAACGCACCCAGGAATCCCGTCAGGACCTGGGGAGTAAACTGGTGTAACACGTTTAAGATCCAAAATTAGGGAGCTTTCGTTTCAGGTGGGACGAAATATTAGGTTCGACTTACGTATTGCGTATATATATATATATTGCTCACTTGAATGAGACACTGTGGAGTAAGTTGTTTGAAAGAATTGGGCGAACAGATCGGCTATTGCCTGATCAGTATTAGCCGTCATACTTTCAAACGAAAGCGAAGGCGGAAAGGAGGATTATCTGCGCTTAGTGTTAACAAAATCATAAAACGGTTTGGGATCCCGTAAAAACTGGGACCTACAACGGACTAAATAATTTTTGTAAAACTGAGCGTTAAGCACGGTAAACTTTGACCGAGCTCTTATGTATTTTCCAAAAACAGACTGACAACCTGAAATTTTATATTTTTTATACAGTCTGGATTTTGAATTCTTATGGTGTGACAACTCCTTGCTAAACCAAGGTGGCTTATTGGATGTCGAAGGGATATTTAGCGGAACACACGAGCTAAAAAACGATTTGATTGCCGAATAAAAAATTGTAATGGCTTCTTCCATATTATTGCAGGAATAGAGATAGAGAGAGATGCCAGATATACATAAGATGATTAAGTCTCAGAAAGTTAGCCCTGCGAAAACAATAAGTTCGCTTGGCTGCCTTTATAGCATTATTTTTAACTGTTATACGAGTGTCGATAGTCATCTCGAAAGTAGGGTGATAGGGATCTTCAGGCAGCGTAAGTGGTGTTACTCTAGAAAGAAAAACATTTTCAGGATTTGAGACAAGGCACAAATCAAGTAAATGAATGAATTTCGAACATGGTTTACCTGACACAGAGGTATGTCAAGTAGACCGTCAATGAATTCATTGTGCCCTATGGGTTGTAAAGCACGAAGTTCCAGGTATATTAAAATCACCTAGAACTAAATCCATATCGGACAAAGAACTCGAAATTGACTTTACAGCTGATAGGTGCCTAAAATAGTCCTCAAGTTCGGACGAAGGAGGTATGTAAGAGCAGGTAATAAAAATTAACCAGCGACAGACAGTTTTACGCATAAAATTTCTAGCTCAAAGTTCAAATGATCTTCTGTCAAAACCTCTTCTGACGTGAGGCTAGCGTCCACTGCAATAAGGACGCCCCTCCCCGTCTAGAGGGACGGTCATGACTATATATTGTGTACTTACCTGGAAAAACTTCGGAGCTAAAGATCTCCGGCTTTTACCAGGTTTCTGTGAACACAATAACTTGGGATGCAAACGAAAAGCTATCAGTATACAATTTGGTTAGCTTGCTACGCAAACCTCTTGTATTCTGATAGCTAATTAGGAAGTTAGTGATTAGTTTTTTGAGGAAGGAGCTAAGGACGGCGCAGTTTGTTGGTCCCGGCCGGGAAGTTTAATTCCCGTAGGGCCTTTCTTTTTTATTTTCGCTACGAACTCCTTAACCACCATTTTTGCCGGCCAAAAGTCGCTCGAGCATATGGTGTTAAAAAGTTCGTCAGGAACACTTATCTTGAAAGATGAAATGTTCCTAGCGTATGAAAAGTTGAATTTTTCCACTTTCAATTTATCGGCATTAATTTTGTCTTTAATGTAAGACGAGACATCAAATGATGTGAGATCAGGGGCCAGCCGAGAAACAAATATTTGTCTCATTTGTGGAACCACTGTGAGGGGTTTTTGCTACTGCAGGCAGTGGGCCTGCGGTGACAATTTGGGCCGGTAGTCCGGTCCCAGAAGCCTCTTGTGGGGGTATATTTGGTTGGTTAGGTGGAATTACATTTTGAGAACCACCTTCGGACAAATCGGAACTTTTTAGAGGCGTTGGTCTACACTCCACTGTGGATTGATCGGGGTCCGAATCTTTTTTGGCTGCCGATCTTAGCAACATTTGAGGGGTTGCTAAAGTCGGCTGCTCATCCACAGAGGAGTTCTGCCGGTCGCTTCGGAGTTGCGGGACGACTCCCTCAGGCCTACCACCAGCAGCCCTCTTGCGCTTCGGGGACTCCTCTAATAGCTTAAGGCTATTAAACTGCGAGTCCAGCGCTAAGAGTAGATCATTAGCCCTGGCAAAACTATCTCTAGCTATGCCAAAACTAGCGATCAGTCCCTTAAGGCCGCCTTTAGTTTGGCTCATGAAGGACTTCATTTCCTTCGCAACTTCGCGACAAGCTTCGCAGCAGAACTGTAAACCAAGGCCTTTACTTAGATCATCACTTGTCCGCCCTGTGAATCCAGCGCACTTAGTGTGCACCATCCTGTCACAAAGCCAACAAGTGAGTTTACCCTGCTCAGGCTTTATTAACTGAAGGCAGGTTTTTTTTTTAACAGAAATTGCAAGATTCCATGTTTATTAAATCAGGGACCACTGTGCCAAGAGAAATTGAAAACGAAATTTTTAAGCGAGCAACTCAAATGTACCGCAAGAATTGCACGCTTAGAACTTTCGAGTTTGTTAGTCCAATAAAAAGAAGAGCGGGAGAGCGGGGACAGTTAATGTGCATGCACTTGTTACTACAACACTACTGTTGACGGACGAAGCACAAAAGAAAGTCAGTAAGACAAAAATTAAATCGTTAAATAAATCGTTAAATGCACAAAAATTCACTAGCGAAGCGAACGGTTTCGAACACAAGGGTATTTA